TGCTCCCGGCGGCTCCGCGGGGACCCGCGGCGCAGCAGTCCCGGCTGTGCGGGGCGGGAGGCGCTGTCTCCGGCTGCGGGCACAGGCGGGCACTGCTGGTGGACGTCTCTGTGTCGCCGCTTCCAAGTTTCTCCCTCTGATCCGAGCAGCGACGGAGCGGGCCGCGAGCCCCGGGATGCTGCCGGTGTTTTTGGACCGAGGGGTGGGTCGGTGCTGAGCGGAGCGGGGGGAGGGCGCCAGCAGAGACGCGCATGTTGGGCTGGGGAGGGCGCGTCAGCGACAGGCGGAGGTGAGGGTCTCCCGCCCTTGCCTGGGTCAGCTGTTACCCGGCTGACCCCTCCTCACCCACCTACCCTGGGTTCAGGGGCCAGTACCAACTTCCTTTGGAAAACACACAGAGGAGGCCTACAAACACCGTCTGCCTCCCCAGGAGGGATGGTGAGACGCTTGGGCCCTCCTTCCTGCCGCCTGGCACAGAGCAGCTCCCAGGCTCTTCCCACTGCGCGCTCTGCCCAGGGACCCCTGAGAGAGGGAAGCCCAGCCCACCATCCTACCCGTGGGATCAGCTCTGTCCCTCTGCCTCTGAGACAGGAACCATGGGGAAGCTTCCTCCTGCTGCATCCTACACTCCCCCACTCCCAAACCAGGTCCCTCTGCAGCAGTGGGGGGTGGGGGAGCTCATTCCTGCCACCTGTCTGGAGGAGAAATAGTCACCCCCGCCAGCCTCCTGGGGCCCCCAGGTGGGAAGTTTTGATGTCTGACTGTTAGGGTGCCAGCTCCCCTGCCATCCCTGCCAGAGCCTGCAACAGACACAGTATGCGGGGGGGTCAGGGCCTCCAGGCCCCATGCAAGCCTCTCCTCCCAGTTTGGAAGCCCCCCAGCCTTTGCCCTCGGCACTGGGAGGTGCAGGCCGTTACAGAAGGAGGAGATCTGTGACCAGCCTGTGGGGCAGGATGCTGGCTGTGGACAGCCTCCAGAAGGGAACTTCCTGGGCCCACTGGAATCAGAAGCTTCCAAATCTGGAAAGGCCAACATTTTGGGCTTTTGTCTTTCAAGCTGTGTCCAGGCTGAGGCCCAAGCCTTGGCTAGGAAGTCTCGGTGACCTTGTGACCTTCCCCAGAGGGGGGTTCCTGGGAGAGGCCAAGTGGTGCTTGTCTTTATCCCTGCCCTGCTTCTCCCCACATGGGTACGGACACAGTGATTGTTCCAGTGATGGAAGCCTGGGGGAGCACTGACTGTCCCCAGTGCCAAGCCCAGCAGGGACCAAGAGGGGTTTTTTCTGCCACACACTAAGTCCAGTTCAGCTGAGGTCTCCGTGCTTTCAGCTTGGCTGAAGCCACCCTGTTCCTCTCTAATTAAAGACACTCCACCACCACCAGAGTCCTCAGCTGTAGGCCTTTGAGGACCAGTTCTTCGGCTGACTGGTTCATGTCAAGCCAGACTCCTCTGGAAGGGGTCTCTCTCTGAAAGGAGATCAGTGTCCCAGCTACTTCGGAGGTCAGTGGATACAGTGGGGAGAGCTCCCCAGCCTAGGAGACCAAAGGGGTTTTAGTTTTCGAGGGAAAAGAATGACCGGCCAACATTATTAATAATCCTGTGATTTGAAATGTACCTTCTCTCCTCAGGTTCAAAACAGCTTGAGGTATCTCTCCCCAGCCTTCCTGGGAGGCAAGACAGGGCCATTCATAATTGGACATTAAGGCCCCGAAATTAAGATAATATTCAAAATCACAGAGGGTGTTTTTGGCCAGCCCAGAAACACTGGTCTTCTGACTCCACGTGCACACTCCCAGCCAGGCCCCTCAGTCTGTCTCCCACCTAATTCACCGAACTCCTGGCTCTGAAGCCTCTGGGATACCAGCCTCCCTTTGGCCCAGACCCATGCCCCTCAGAGACCCAGTGCTAGCAGCATCCCCACGGACTCTCTTGAAGCAGTGGGGTGATGGAAGTGATATAGGTCCCCATGAGTCACAGGTCAGGTATCCTAGGGTGTGGCTGGGACTCTGCAAGGAAATCCAGGGGCAGATTTCTGAAGACAGTGGGGTTCCCTGCTGGGAAAACAAAAAGGGACACTTGGGAAGAAAAGCAGGGCTCTTCCCATAAGAACATATTTCCAAGGGATTCTAAGACCTCCCACCCTCCTTTAGCATTGCTTAGAGTTAAGGTGAAAGAGATTGGAGTCCTTTGGGAGTGGAGTCTCCTGGGTGGCTGTCCCCATGTACTGATGGGCCAGGTCACCTTGGGGACAGCTCACGACCCTCTGGCAGGCCTCGGGGTCCTTGGGGGTTAATAGGAGAGGCCAGGTTGATCAAGAGCCTGTGCTGCAGACAGACTTGGGAGGCTGGTGCTGTGCCCACCGGGGTAGGCAGCGGGCAGGCGTCATGGGACAGCCAATCAGAGGAGGAGGGGACTGCAGAGAAACAGAGTGATCCTGCTGCAGCTGAGCTGTCCTTGGAGGGTGGGAGCCAAGGGAAAGGGAGGAGGAGGGGGTGGGGAACGACATTCCACAGGCTTTTTTGGCCCCTGACAAAGACAGGGGGGGTCAAAGAGAAAGGGAAAGGAGCAAGCCAGGAAGCTGGATTACAAGAGCATCGAGACCAGGCTGTTTCAGTGTGCGAGGAACTTTGCCTGGGAGATAAAATTAGACCTAGAGCTTGCCGACAGGGTGTCCGAAGCGTGGGACATGGACCGTTCACTGGGATGGCAAGGCAGTTCTGTCCCTGAGGACAGGACTGAAGCTGGGGTAAGGTGCTATTCTGGGAGATGGGGGGGACCTGACCTGTCTCCCCCACTGCCTTGATGGGGATTGGGGCTCAAAGTCAAAAAATGATTTGGTCACTGTGAGTGCTGGGGGTGGGGGAGGAGAGATAGGAGGTGAAGACCCTAGTGTCCTGACTTCTTGTCTAGAGCCCCTGTAGGCCCCTCCCTGATGAGCAGCCAAGACTGGCAGGGAACCCAGGAATGCTGGGTTCCTGGTGACTATTGGAAGACTGGGGATGGTAGGGGTCCCATCAGTGTCTTCCTTTCTTCCTTAACTGCTACCCCTCTGCTCAGTGCCCTTGGGGAAACCAGGTGGAGCACAGTTTTCTCTCTTTCACCGGGACCAAGGGCTGGGTCACTGTGGGGTTATGCAGAGAGGCAGGATTTCCTGGAATTCCCCAGCCTCTAGCTGCCAGAAAACAAGACCTGCTACACCCCTCCTCCCACCCCCAGCCCCATCCCTTCTCTGTTGCCATATAATGAATTCTCCAAGCCGGGACACTTTGAGAGTGAAAAGGGGCACACTTAATCACTATGCTAGGACAACAAACAAACTAGGATGGACAGTTACTCCACTGGAACCCCACAAATACTATCAGTGTGAAAGCCTGTTAGGCTTGCTTCAGGACAGCCTCTTTTGGTCACTAAGCCCCTACATGCTGGTTCCAGTTCCAGGCTAAAGGGCCTCTCTCCTTCCCTCTGTCCAGGTGGGCCCTGGAGACTGTGGCTACAAGCAGGTGTGGGGACGTGAGAGGAGACAGCCTAGAGGTAGTTCTTAGGGGACTTTTCCCTGCAGCCTTCTGCTGTCTCAGTCCCTACCCTCTGGCATAAACCTGGCAATGTGCCTGTCTGCCTCCCTCAGTTCTTCCCTCTGTTAACTGGGGACCTGCAGAAGACTGTGGCCATCTTGTCTCCCCTCACCCGGGCCGGGACTCCACAGTGGTCTGGGATAGCCCCCACTGGCTTGGCCAGTCCCCAGGGAGTGAGTCAGCCGCTGAAGCCAGCCGTTGTCCATTGTCTGGAGGTGGCATGTGGGTATTGTGAGGCAGAGCTGAGCCCAGCACTGCCAGGCACCCCACAAAGGGGGCTGGCTCCCAAAGGAGAGAGGAAGTTTTTGGGTCTAGAGTGGATGTGCACACTCCCAGGCAGACTCCACTCCCAAAGGACTCCAATCTCTTTCACCTTAACTCTAAGTTAAGTGTGCAGGAGTTGGGGGGAGCGGCCTCTCTTCCAAGTTGGAGATGGGGGGGAACAGGTCTCTACAGAGGAGCTGGCCATTCTTTGCCTACCACCCCTGTGGTTCAGGGCTCAGGCCAGATCCCCTCCTGCACTGCTGGCTGAAGCTTACCCCAGGCAGAGGGGGTGAGAGACAACCGATGGGCGCTTCCTCCCATTTGTCCCTCCCAGTTAGGGGTGTCAGCAGCCTAGAGTCCTCCCATCTTCCCTCACTGGGTCCCTCCCGGTTCCCTTCCACCCCGCGCTCAGCATCCACTGGCAGGTTTAATCCTCTCTCCGGGGCCTCGACACAGGTTCCGGTGTGGCACGGTGTCTGGATAAGGGGGGGTCACATCAGCTGTGCTGAGCTCTTTGCAGTGAGTACCTCCAGCAGAGTCTGCCCCTCCGTCCTAGAGCTCACTGACCTGCACTGAGGGCAGGCACAGAGCCCCCTGCTGGCCCCTGATTTACCTGGGCCGGCAGCTCCCTGCACCGTGTCCTACTTCCCTCCTGCCCTGCCCCATTCTGACTGCCCGCACTCTCCTTGAATCCGGAACCACGTCCTCCTCTCAGCTCTCACGCCTCTATTGCTCCCCCTTATTCAGTCTGGCTTGCTGGCTGTTAGGGCAGTCCCTGGCCCCTGGCTTGGCCGGACCCCCAGCAAGGGCAGAGCGGTGAGCACCCCGTTGAGAGGGAGCACCAGGACTGGAGCTCCTCAGATCCCAACAGCAGTTGCGAGGACTTCGGGGGCTGCCTGGGGCTGCTCCAGGATCTTGGGGTCCCTCCTGGAGTCTCAGCTGGGCGGGGCACAGGAGCAGATGAGGGAGGGGTCTTCCTCTGCTTGGCTGCTAGTGCAGTTTCTTTCCCTTCTAACCACAAGCACTTTCCTCTCTCTCCCTCTCACCTTCTCTGGTCTTCCTCTTTCATTCTCCCCTTCGTGCCACCTACCTGCCCACCCCACCCCACCTCCAACCCCCAGATCAAGCGCTTCCTGGAGGACACGGATGATGCAGAACTGAACAAGTTCATGAAGGATTTCCCAGGAAGCGAGAACTGCCACCAACCAGAGGCCAAGACCTGGGGGTCCGGGCCCCAAGTCCTGGAGCCAAGGCCCCAGGCACCGGACCTCTACCAGGATGACCTGGAGTTCAGACCCCCCTCCCGGCCGCAGGCCTCTGACAGCCAGCAGTACTGCTCCTCGGCCCCTCTCAGCCCCTCAGCCCGGCCCCGCAGCCCCTGGGGCAAGCTTGATCCCTATGACTCCTCTGAGGTAGAGCCTCCAGCCCTGCCTTGGTTTTTCAGAGGGCTGGGGCAGGAAGACCCAGGGAGGGAGCAGAGAGATCCCAAGTGTATGTGCGTGTATGTGCGCGTGTGTGTGCATAGGTGTGCACACACGCATGCGTGCATGATGAGCTGGGGCCTCTCTGTCCTGTGTCAGCCCCGGCTCCGTGGCGTTGACGCTCATGTGCATTGGAAACTGACTGTTAGCAGGCCAGGAGCCTAGCTGGTGGCCCCAGAGGGGGCCTCGAAGGAGTCTGACAATACTCCTCTAGGACTGGGGCAGAGACCTAGGAGGGAGGGAGAAGGCTGGTGTTGGGTCCTGGGGCCCCTCCTGCCTCCCGCTCTGATGCACTCTGCCTTCCTGTCCATTAGGACGACAAGGAGTATGTGGGCTTTGCGACCCTCCCCAATCAAGTTCACCGGAAGTCCGTGAAGAAGGGCTTTGACTTTACCCTCATGGTGGCAGGTAGAGCAGGGGAAGGGCTGGGCTGGGTAGGGGTGTTGCAGAAAGGGATGGTATATATGTGGGGAGGGGGTGTGGGTAAGGAAGGAAAAAGCAGCCAGTGACTGTGCCTTTTGGCAAAATAACCAGGAGCTGTGGGTGGCCAAAAGTGTGTATGTGGGGGGCGAGGGGGTGTTGAAGTGGTACAAAGAACACTTGATCAACAGTTTTCTAATATTTGCCTTTTTCTGTGTGACCTTGGGCAACCTCTTACCCTCGCTGGGCCTCATTCAAATAAGAAGGCTGGACAAGCTGTTCTCGCTGATTCCTTCAAGCTCTAATGTGCTATGACCTTCTCAATGTCCCTTCCCAATATGTCTCTTCCCAATTAGATAAGAAAGCAGCTCCCTCTACACCTTGTTCTAGTGGGGTTGCCTCTTGGCCATAGCTCTTCTACATATCTTCTGATCATATCTTCTGTCCTCTCTCCCCGTCAGGAGAGTCTGGCTTGGGGAAATCCACTCTTGTCAATAGCCTCTTCCTCACTGATCTGTACCGGGACCGGAAACTCCTCAGTGCTGAAGGTAAGGAAAGGAGAGGGGTGTGAAGACAGGCATGCAGACTTGACTTGGGAAATCAAACCCATGCCTGAGCCTGGGGCCTGGGGCCTTCCCCAGCAGGCAGGAAACCATGGCTTCCTAGAGGGATTGACGGCATCTCTCCATAGGCCTATCTAGCCTGGCAGTCCACCAGCCAGCTCCCTAAAGATTTGGGTGCCGAAGCAGGGCAGGGACCAGAATCCTGCTCTCTGAGTGAGTCTCTGACCCCCAAAGGATTCCAGGAATCCAAGAAAAGAGCCGGGAGCAGAGAAGAGGCTGGGGCCAGAGCCAACAGCCACCGGCATTTCCTGTGTTGGGAAATGTGCTCCTTGCTGGTTCCCAGAGAACAGGCCCCCAGGCAGCTTGGGGTGGGAAGGGGGGCAGTGTGGATGAGGCAGTCTGGGCAGCAGAGCTGGTTGGGGTGGGCGGTTTGTCCTGACTAGGCAGGTCCTTGCCCTTGCCCTGGCCTCAGTTTCCCCTTTCTCCAGAGCGGATCATGCAAACGGTGGAGATCACTAAACACGCAGTGGACATAGAAGAGAAGGGTGTGAGGCTGCGGCTCACCATTGTGGACACACCGGGTTTTGGGGATGCAGTCAACAACACAGAGTGGTATGTCTGACCAAGCACAGCCCCAGCTGCCCGCTTCCCATTACACACACACACACACACGCACGCACACACACACACACACGGGCGCACCCACAGGCACAGACATAACCAGAATTCTCAGGAGGAAAGTTTGTGGCCTCGAGCACACCACCGCCCCTTACTGGGCAGCTGTCTCTTCCTGTGAAATGAGAGGGAGAGGGTTGGAACAGATGCTCTTTAACGTCTTTTCTGACTCCGACCTATACTTCTATAATGGGGGCGAAGACGCAAGATAAGAAAGTATCAGAAAAGCAAACCCATGTGAAAACATGTAGCACAGGGCCTGACATCTAGTAGTTGCTTAATAAACATCCCCCTCCCTCCTTCCTTTTCTTTCACCAGCCACATTTTAGGTGCCACAAACCACTTTTATTAAAGGGATGAGAGTTCCTTGAGGAAGGGGTGAGGAGGAGAAAGAAGAGGCGAAGGGGAGACAAATGGGTTGAACTTTGTTTAAACTCCAAGCACCCTCTAGGCTAGAAGAAAAGGTGGCTTTGCCACACACGCCATCATCCTTGGCTTTCTTCTTTCAGGAACTGGAAGGGATGCTTAGATAATGGCCAGACCCAAGTGAGTAGATGAGAAGCAGAATGAATGATGAAGACAGGAGAGGAGGTGGTGCCCTTGATGAAATCAGGCAAGGGGTGCTAAGACCACTAGACTGAGTTCAGACCTTGATTCAGCATTTAGTAACTGTGTGGGCTTGAGCAAATGACTGCATTACCGTTTCTTTAGCTGAAACATACCTGCCCTTACCACCTTGCCTAGCTGATCTGAAAATCACCCTGAATGATGCATGTGAATGTGCATTAAAAACTAAAGAGCTGTTTACATTACACTCATGGATTTTAAGATCATAATTGCAGCACCAGTGCTAAACAGAAGTGCGGGGCCCGTTGTTGAAAATGCTGACGAATTTCAAGATGGCCACAGCAGAGAAGCAAACCAAGGGTGGGCCCTTCTGAGATCAGGGCCCTGTGTTGACTGCACAGGTGGCCCTTCCAGAAAGCTGACCCTGGGTAATTGCCCCACAGACTCATCAGACCCTTACAGACCTTTCTGTGCTCTGGTCCCCATGACATGCTTTATCATTACTGTATGTGATGTTTTGGCTTAGCACACAGATTCATCTTCAACTGCAGAGTCTCAGCCTTGAGGGGAGGGCCATTTCTTCTTATAGTCTTGCCCTGGCACTGTGCTGGCACATGGTACGTCGTCTCCTGATGGAAATATTCCTTTTTTTTTTTTTTT